CTGGGTGACAGAGTGAGACTCCAACTCAAAAAAATAAATAAATAAAATAAAATAAAAATATAAATAAATAAATAAATAAAATAAATTTCATATGTGAGTGGCCTGTCCTCCGCTGTCCTCTTGCTGTGCAGATGCCGCCCTGCTCTCGTCAGCCTCCACAAGGCCGTCTCCCTAAGACCCAGCACGATGCCTTCAATTAAGTTGCAGAGTTCTGATGGAGAGATATTTGAAGTTGATGTGGAGACTGCCAAACAATCTGTGACTAATAAGACCATATTGGAAGATTTGAGAATGGATGATGAAGGAGATGATGACCTAGTTCCTCTCCCAAATGTCAATGCAGCAATTTTTAAAAAGGTCTTTCAGTGGGGCACTCACCACAAAGATGACCCTCCTCCTCCCGAGGATGATGAGAACAAAGAAAAGTAAACAGATGATACCCCTGTTTGGGATCAAGAACTCCTGAAAATTGATCAAGGAACACTTTTTGAACTTATTCTGGCTGCAAACTACTTAGACATCAAAGATTTGCTTGATGTTACTTGCAAGACTGTTGCCAGTATGATCAAGGGGAAAACTCCTGAGGAAATTTGCAAGACCATCAATATCAAAAACGACTTTACTGAAGAAGAGGAAGCCCAGGTATGCAAAGAGAACCAGTGGTGTGAAGAGAAGTGAAATGTTGTGCCTGACACAGTAACACTGTAAGGATTGTTTCAAATACTAGTTGCACGGCTCTATTTATAATTGTTAATATTAGACAAACAGTAGACAAATGCAGCAACAAATCAGTTGTATTAGCAGAACATTGTCCTCATTGCATGTGTAGTTTGAGTACAGATTCCAAGCCTATGGCTGAGTTTCTTCTAGTACAACCGAAAGTCTCTTTTTTCTTTGCTCTGAATAAAACTGCTGTGGGTTCTCTATAGAAAGTGGCATTTTGGGCTTTCCCTCTTTTTTTGTAAAGTAATGTCTGCCTAGTTTATTGTCCAGTTAACTTTAGTGATCTTTTAAAAGTTGGCATTGTAAATAAAACAACTTGCAAGAGTGTTCTGAAGTAGAATTAACAAAATACCTTTATTTTGAGTTGGAAACTGGAAATAAATGATCTGAGGGATTAAAAAAATAAAAATTAAAAAATAAAAAATAAATTTCACATGTAAGTAAGATCATGTGGTATTAGTCTTTCTGTGCCTATTCTATTTCACTTAGTATAATTTCCTCCGTGTTCATCCAAGGTCCCCCAGACCCTGCCAATCACTCTCAGGTTGATGACTTGCTGGAAAGGCACACAGAACTTGGGAAAGCTGTAATGCTCACCATTACAGTTGACTACTGTAAAATAATACATCAAGAGATTGCCAGGACTTGGGGGAGAAAAAGAATACAGGTTAAAATCAGCATGGGAAAAAGGCACAATAGGGCAGAGTGCAGAAGAATCCAAGGGGCATTTCCAGTTGTCTTCCACCAGTGGAACTACATAGACAGCACTTGATTCTCCCAGCAACAATATGTGACAACACACACATTAAGCATGGTTGGCCAGGCATGGTGGCTCATGCCTGTAATCTCAGCTCTTTGGGAGGTGTAAACAAGAAGATTGCTTGAACCCAGGAGTTCAAGATCAGCCTGGGGCTACATGGTGAGACCTTGTCTCTACAATAAATAAAAAAATTAGCCAGGCATGGTAGTATGTGCCTATAGTTCCAGCTGCTTAGAAGGCTGAGGTAGGCATTTCACCTGAGCCCAGCAGGTAGAAGCAGCAGCAACAGTGAGCGTGCTACTGCACTCCAGCCTGGGTGGCAGAGTAAGACTCCTACTCAAAAAATAAAAAGAAAGTATTGTCATCCAGGGCTGGGTGTGGTGGCTCATGCCTGTAACTACTGCACTTTGAGAGGTTGAGGTGGGAGAATTGCTTGAACCCAGGAGTTCAAGCAAGGTCAACCTGGGCAACATGGAGAGACCTCACCTCTTCAAAAAATTAGCTGGGCATGGTGGCATGCACCTGTAGTCCCAGCTACTCGGGAGCCTGAGGCAGAAGGATCAGCTAAGCCCAGGAGGTCAAGTCTGCAGTGAGTTATAATCATGCCACTGCACTCCAGCCTGGGGAATGGGTGGGGGGATGGAGAGCGGGGTTGGGGAGATTGGTATCAGGAAGGCGTGCGTAAATCTTGGTGCCCAGGATGTTTTTTTTGAATTGGAGTTTCACGCTGTCACCCAAGCTAGAGTGTAGTGGCATGATCATGCTCACTGCAGTCTTGACCTGCTGGGCTCAGGCAATCCTTCCACCTCAGCCTTCCAAGTAGCTGGAACTATAGGCATGTGCAACCATTTTTTGATTTATTGTAGAGACAAGGTCACCATGTTTCCCAGGCTGGTCTCGAACTCCTGGACTCTGGTGATCCTCTCACCTCTGCCTCCCAAAGCGCTGGGATTACAGGCATGAGCCATCACACCTGGCCCTCTGTGTCCAGGATTTTTATTGGAGGTCAGTCACATAGGCATGGAGCGCCCACATGACTGGCCTTAGCAATTCATTTCCCAGTTCCCCCACCCCAGCAGAGGTCACGTTGATACAGCATGGCCCAAGGCTCCCAGCAAATAAAAACAAGCCTTCATCATAAATCACATCTGGTATACAAGGACGCTCTTATCAGGCAGAATCTTGCAAGGCCCAGAGGATTTATCTCAGAAGCTGGTCAACATTCTTTGGAATGTTCAGGATTTGAGTGACCCAATTCCACCCAGTTAACCCTTTACTGCATACACTTTTCCCCTGGATACTCAACATTTTCTGAGAAGAGAGGAATTTTCTATTCCACTCAGAATTGAGATTGGTGGGGAAAACATATATCCTAAGGGAAGCGGACTAACTTGCCTGATTGGTGGGTCTGAGAGACAAAACGGGGCTTGTCCTATTCAGCCCCTGCCAGGTTCTCCCTTGCAGCTCTGCCCGCTTGCTTGAGGCCATGTTAGACCTCATACACGACCCAGACGGAGGACTTTTGTCCATGGTGTTCCTCTGGAATGTTCTCTCACGTGTCTCCATGGTTTCCTTCCTCACTTCATCCCAGCATTACTAACCTGCACAGAGGCCGGTGTACATTTCCCTTATTATTCAGTAGCCGCAATCATTTGAGTCGGGAGGGAGCTGAGAGGCTACTTGGATGATCAATTCTGGGTTGTTCCTGCCAAAGAGAAAAACACGCCTCAGCAGCTTCGCTGGAGGGAACTTGGCAGCCGTGAGTCAGAACAGCATGTGCTCTCCACAGTCAAGATCTCACCAGCCGTATATAGAGCCACCAGCGCCAAGCACAGTTGCAGCCTCTCTGCTAGTTAATTTTCCTTCATTTTGGGGGTCTGCACAAAGCCCACCCAGTGACCACATGAGCCTGAGGATGCTATTTTATATGGTGCAGAAAGAAGTCAAAATGGAACCTCACATATCTGGGATAAGTAGAATCATGGCAGAAAAGTCTAGTCATAAACCAGATCCATTCTCTCCTTCAACTCTTAGTGAAAGCACCCTAAGTTTTAACTGGGTTCGTGAAGTCCCAGTGTTGTGGTAGGGTGTGGGGGAAGACCACAGACTATTTATGTATGTATTTATTTATTTATGAATTGTGGTCTTACTCTGTTGCTAAGGCTGGAGCGCAGTGGCACAATCATGGCTCACCACAGTCTTGACCTCCTGGGCTCAGGCGATTCTTTCGCCTCAGTGTCCCAAGTGGTTTGGACTGCAAGAGGCATGTGCCTTTGTGAAGATAAGGTCTTGCTATGTTGTCCAGGCTGATTTTGAACTCCTGGGCTCAACCAATCCTCTTGCCTTGGCCTCCTAAAGTACTGACATTACAGGCATGAGCCACCGCGCCCGGCCCAGACTCAATTTAAAAGCAAGATTTTGCTATTTATTTAATTTTTATTTTTTCATTTTTTCATTTTTTGAGTTGGAGTCTCACTCTGTGGCCCAGACTGGAGTAGAGTGGCACGCTCCCAGCCACCTCAGCCTCGACCTGCTGAGCTCCTGCGATCCTCTGCCTCAGCCTTCCAAGTAGCCGGAACGACAGACCCGGCTAATTTTTGATTTATTGTAGAGACAAGGTCTCATCAAGCTGCCCAGGTCAGTCTCAAACCCGCGGGCTCAGGCAATCCACTCACCTTAGCCTCCCAGAGTGCAGGTATTACAGGCTGAGCCACTGAGCCTGGCCTTGCTGTTTATTAAAAGAACTGTATTGTAGGAAGGATGGGTTACTCAGTTCCTTAATGTATCTAAACAACAGGCTTCCTTCTATACCAGGATATACTCAAAAACCCCTTCATGACCTCCCCAACCCTGTGGTCAGCAGGAAGGAGGCAGGAAATACGAAACAACAGGAGAGGGGAAAATGGCATACAGATTTTTGCATCATCAAATTCCTCCTCCCTTTTTAAAAACACCTGAAGACATTAGTTAGATTTCTGCAAGCCTTGTTTATTAAGAACAAATAATCAAGCAAAAACTCATTTAGTCATGAGTGAGCTTTATCCCTGCCATGCCTTGGAATCAGCTGGCATTATTTCAGAAGGCAAATGGAACAAATAAAAGAAGAAACGCTCCATCTCCAAGGACTGAAAATAACTCAGGGCAATCTGGTTGACTTCATACCAGGTGCTGGTATTTAGAAATCAAAGCCAGACAGCATTCCAATCATCATGTCTTTTTCTTTAATGTGCAAAGGGTCACTCTGTCTTCTCTACACCACCTTTCTATGTGCCCTTGGCAGAGTTCATGGGTGGATGCAGAAATCATTGCTTTGAGGAATTTCTTAACTCTCAAAGACAATGTGGAGCCTCCCTTTTCCTTCCCTCTTCTCCTGTCTTTCCTTTGTCTTTCCTTTTTTTTTATTTTTTGAGTCAGAGTCTCACTCTGTCACCCACGCTGGAGTGCAATGTCATGCTCATGGCCACTGCAACCTCAATCTGCTGAGCTCAGGCAATCCTTCCACCTCAGCCTTCCAAATAACTTCCAAATAAGAACCACAAGCATGCACCACTACGCCCAGCTAATTTTTTAATTTATTGTAGAGATGAGGTCTCACCAAGTTGCCCAGACTGGTCTTGAACCCCTGGGCTCAGACAGTCCTCTTGCCTTGGCCTCCCAAGGTGCTGAGATTACAAGCATGCGTCACCATGCCTGGCCACCTCTCCCTTTTTCTATTTCCACCTCTACAATAACCCAAGTCAGGTTCTGGCCTGTGTAAGAGCTACCAGCATTCATAGCTCTTAATGGACTGTGTGTACCTGAGAGCAAAACATGTCTTATTCATCTTTGTATCCCCTAGTACCTAGTCCACTTTTATTTTTATTTATTTATTTATTTTTTAGTTGGAGTCTCACTCTGTCGCCCAGACTGGAGTGCAGTGGCCGCTCCTGGCCACCGCAGCCTCGACCTGCAGTTATCCTTCTGCCTCAGCCTTCCAAGTAGCTGGAATTACAGGCATGAGCTACCACACCTGGCTGATTTTTTGATTTATTGTAGAGATGAGGTCTCGCTGCCCAGGCGGGTCTCGAACCCGCGGGCTCAGGCAATCCACTCACCTCAGCCTCCCAAAGGCGCGGGATTACAGGCTGAGCCACCGAGCCTGGCTCCTAGTCCACTTTTAAATAACTGCAACAACAACGTCCATTTGTTGCATCTAGCTATTGTATTGCGGCAGCCCCAAATCAGACAGGGTGCATATATGATGTTTTCCAATTCTGAATAAATCACCCAGAGGACAGGTTGGTAAAGACATGGGTTTATCACTACCTACAGGAGGGAACTGATGGTGGCCGGTCAGTACAAAGCTCTCTGCACCCCAATAGACATATACCCCCAGAGTGAAAAAGGGAGCATGACACAGCAATAACATTATGTGCAAAGAAGCAGAAACAAGGATGTTGACTCTCAGTAACTGGCTTGAGCTCGCAGATGTACATATCTTCAAGGCATTTTGACAGGACACACCCTTGGCCAGAGGTTACTCTCTCAGTCAAGAAACAGTCATCAGCAGGGGAGGAGGGGGAGGCATCTGTCCTGCATTTA